ATCAACTTTTCGAATGGATGCACCTTTTATATTTATATGTAGATATGCTGAGTTGCTATTGCAGTTATTTCCAAATGCCATGTATACTGTTTTGTCAATATTTAATGACAGCTTATTCAATGCTAGCCAAATGGATAGTTTGTTTAAGTAGAAGTTCATCTTTTTTTCGACTTCATGCCATGTTTCGCCTTTCACGATAATTACCGTGTCATCAGCAAAAGCCAACACATTATCATTTGGTAGCAATTGTAACATATCATTAATGTAGATTATGAAAAATAAAGGTCCCAATATTGTACCTTGTGGTACGCCAATGTTGACATGTTGATATTGACTATATTCACCATTAATTTTAACTCTTTGTTTCCTATTACTTAGATAGCTTTTGATAAGTTCATACGCACTACCTCTAATTCCATATCTATAGAGTTTTTTAAGTAGAATTTTGTGGTCCACAGTGTCAAAAGCTTTCGCTAGATCCAAGAAAGTTGCTGCTATTGATTTACTTTTATCTAGTTGATTGTATATTGAGTTAGTTAGGTAGTATAGGGCATTTTTGGTGCTAAGACCTTTTCTAAAACCAAATTGTTTATTAGAAAATAAATTATGTTTGTTGAAAAAACTTGTAATCCTGATTTGTATTAATTTTTCAAAAATTTTGGCGATATTTGATATTAAAGATATAGGTCTATAGTTTGTTGGTAGATACTTCTCTTTAGTTTTGTGGATAGGAATAATTTCAGCACTTTTTAATTCGTCAGGCCATATTTCTTTTTGTAAGCATAAATTAAAGATATAGGTCAACGGATCACTTATATGGTTTATTATCATCTTTAGTACCTGAGTAGTTGATGCCGTCAGATCCTCCGTTTTTGTTGCCCATTTTCCTTATTGTCTGTTGTACTTCTATTCTATTTGTTAAATGTAGAAAAATACTGTTGTTGTTCATAGATGGTAGAGTAATGTTACTATTTATTGGTTGTCTAATATTATCACATATCTGTTTGCCTACTGTACTGAAAAATATATTCATTTGTTCTGCAATGTCGTTTGAGTTTGTAATTTTATTATTACCTATTAATAGATGATTTATGTTATTGTTTTTTTTGGTTTTCTTCCCAATTTTGTTGTTGATTATTTTCCATAGTTTTCGTGGATTGTGTTGATTTGTTTTGATTTGATTTTTTTCATATTTTTCTTTAGCTAGATCTATGGTCTTTTTTAAAGTTTCTACATAGTTTTTATATTTTTCTCTTTTTGTTGCATTATTGGGATCTTTTTTCCAATTATTATAAAGTTTTTCTTTGTGTGCACATGATATCATTATTGCTTTAGTTATCCAATTACTCCTTGGGTTCATTTTATTCTTATTGTGTTTATTGTTTTTAAATGATGCCGTAATACATGTTTGAATTTTTTCTATTAATTTGTTCGTAGCTAGATTAGAGTCTTTTATAATTTGTATGTCAGTCCAAACAGTTCTTTTGGCTTTATTTTTTAGTTTAAAATAGTTTATTATTTTAAAATTGGTTTTTTGTGTACATTTATAATTATTCCTTAAACTCATCATTATGGGGTAGTGATCATTGAAGGGTACGTTGAGGACGTAAGTTTTATAGTTGACTTTTCCTAGCCTAACATAGAAATTATCTATACATGTACTTTTGTTATTATCAATATTGGATGGTCTTGTTATGGTATGTAGTCCAGGGCAATACCCATTTTTTAGCAGTACTTGTAAAAAATCTTGATCTAGTATTTCTTCACTCAATATATCAAAATTAAAGTCTCCCATTAAAATATTGTTTTTATATTTTTTGTTTATTTTCAATAATTCTTTGAGATTCAATAGGAATTCAGATTTAGATAAATCATGAGATCTGTAAATAGCAGACAGCACCAAACTTTTGTTGTTTTCTAGTGTAATATTAGAGTTAATTATTTTTAATTTATCTATTTCAAGAACTTCTGTAATTTCGGTGATTTCTTCTTTCATATACAAAACAACTTCATCTGATTTGTTTATTTTACTTTCATTGTAATATATTTTATAGTCTGGAATATGGAACATTTCATGATTGTCTAAATTCCATGTTTCTGTGCATACTATTATACATGGGTTTTTTTTCGAGGTTCTTCAGAAATACTAATAATTTATTGTAATTTTTTTTAAGGCTTCTGATGTTTATACAAAGAATGATATTATTTTCTTTACATATATATTTGTTTAGATCATCAATATTATCTGTTTTATGTTCATTTTCAAATATAATATCATATAAGCTGTTATCCATATTGTAATATTGCAGAAAACTATTTAGTATTCCTGGTTTTATTACTTGTTGGACTTGGAGTAGATAATGATGATAACGATAAACTGTTATTTATTCTCGGACGGTTATATATCTTGCGGGTGTTTGTTTCAAAGTTTATTCTACCAAAATATCTTTGATGAGTTGGTTGAATTGGATAATCTCTCATTTCAATATACCTTTTTATTTTCATTTTTAAAACTTCACACATTTCGCTGTCGATTGCACTATGGTTTACGTTGTAGTTTTTACTATATGTTTCATTGTGGAAAATGCAGTTTGGACATTGGAGTATGCTGCTACTACGCATTTTTGCTTGGTGCTTGCCAGCACATTTATAACACGTTGGCTCTTTTTTTGCTTTTTCACACTTTCCGCCGCCGTGGCCAAAACCTGAGCAGTTGTAACACGGATATGTGTTGATGACGTCAAAGACTCTACAGTTTTTACATCCAATAAATAATTTGTTACTATTGATTTTTATATGTTTATATAGAATAGATGGAACTTCTATTATTGCAGTTACTGTTTTATTTTTTTCATTTGTAAATACATGATTTACTTTGCATTTTTCTTCGCATTGACTAAAATTTCTTGCATTAATATCAGTTTCTATATCTTTTACATTTGTTGTGAAAGCTTTAGAAATTCCTACTACTTTAACTATCGGTTTACGTATTTCTTCTTTTAGAACAGTAAGTGCCGGTAGTTTTTTTTGTAAAGTTTTTTCTAACACTGTGACATTTTCTTCGGTCATGCAGTTGATAATTATTGTGTCAGTATTTTTAACTTGTACACTTTTTGTTTGTATGTTTTTGTCTTTAATTAAGTAATGTGCTACTTGATTTTCTAAGTTTATGTTATCATTACTCTTTTTCTTTATTATTAATCTTGGTATTCTTTTGGGCTTAGGTTTTGGTAGTGCCATTGTTTCAGCATATGTTTTTCTTATAATGTTAGTATTTGCATTATTATTTTGTTTTTCTTTAATTAGTAGTTCATTGAGCAATTCATTTTTTTCTTTTGTTTCTTTGTACAGTTCTTTCAATAGGTTATTTTCGGCTTTTAATTGTTGTAATTCATCCAGATCATTGATCTGTGTTACATCCATATGATTATCTTTTTCATTTAAAATTTGCTTTTCATTCACAAGCTCATTTAATATTTGCTGTTTTATTTGTTCTCTACTTACAAGTTTAAATTGTGTTATGAAAGCACTAGCTTATTCACTTAAGTCTCCATATGGCAAGTTTGATGTTAGTGCAAAATTTGGATGCTCCTGGCATATTATGAATGAGCTGTTTATTAGTTTGATTGCATTTCCTGCATTGATTTTTGCTACTATTTCACTCGTATGATAGAAATTTCCACATACTAAACACACAACTGCTCCTACTGTTGTATTTGGATGACACTTGAAATGCTTATGTAGCGATGATGCGTCAGGCGGTTGCACGTCCGTACCGCTCGACGGCGACATCGTGACTGAAATGATATACATTGCTTATCTACTTACGAATCCATGCACACCGAGGTTAGCGTTTACTATTGGGGTGTTTGTAACAAACGATTGTTTGTAACCGGTCGTGAGTGCGTGTGTAAATTATTTCGCATCCTCCTCGCTTCTGAGCTTTGTTTAGCATCAGCGTGTTTGCTCGCCCGGAAAATTGTTCAGTCACTAGTGTATTCGTACCTTCCTTTCCTGCACAAATAATTTATAAATAAAATTACGAGCTGCAATTCAAAAATAACGGCTCTCGTTTTACAAAACCAGTACGTACGGCTGTTAGCTTGGTCAAGCTTCAGACATCAGAGAAAATTTAACATATAATGCTTCGATACCACGAAATCTACTTATTTACCATAATAAACTGACTTTCTGAGAAAAGAATAAGTTAGCTAAACTAAGAAAAGAGTGCAAAAATCGATGCTGGATGCACCAGGAAGGTCGAATCGATCGAATGTTGCAGCGGCACACGCTGTATATAAACAAGCTAGAAAAATTCTGAATACGCTTTATTATTTTTTATTTATAAATAATAAAAGTCAAAAATAATTGACGCATTACATATACGCTAAAACAATTGAATCACTGATTATTTTAATAATATTTCTGTGAGAAAACATGTGTGTACATACAAAGAAGAAATTAACATAAGCGAAATTATTTGAATAAAGATATATTAACATCCTTTAAATATATAAATACTTGTATGTCTGAAGTACTATTCTGTTACTGCGTAACACTGAAGACTTATGGTAGTTCGTACAGCGAACTTTCTCTAAACGGACGTTAAGATTTTTTTTTATACAATATTAATAAACATTCACTTTAGTTTTAACTTTACATCCACATGTGTCGTTGTTCCATCTATTTCAATTTACTAATAAAAAATAAATGTCACGGTGATACATAATTTAATTTTGTAATAAGAAAATCGAGAATGATTTGAGTTATTGTCATTTATACGCTTACCCTCGTTGAGCGTAAATTAATGAGTTATTTTGGGGCACATCTTGTAAGCAGCAACTTATACCAACATGTATCAAGAATATACTATATAAGAATTTTAAATTAATAGTTAATTATACTTCTTATCAGTTATCATAAATACAATTTTTTTGAACATCAATTTCACAATTTATTTTAATTCTAAATTAAAATATAAGATTTTGAAGATTACTTACCAACAGTCCAATTAACACTGTAGTTAGGAGCCTTCCCAGGTTGTCTAACCTCTGAAGACGTTATGAGACTCATGAGAGGTTTATTAAGTCTGTATGGCGGTGGTAAACCTTGAATTGTATTTTCGATTCGTCCACATACGGCTCTGTACATATGACTGGGATTTAACAAACTTCCGAGAACGATACTTTGAAAATATATTGGTTCAATGAAATGACTGAGAAGAGCTCCTTGTATACCCAGAACATTCCATCGCGCAATTTTATCAGAACACGACATTGTCAATAATCTTTGACCCTGTAAAATTCAAAACTAAACTTTAAACTTCATTAATAATATACTTTAACTTAACATATTCTTTAACTTAATATGTTAATAATTTTTTCTTTCTTAAGATATTCTCAAGCATATTTCGATATAACGTACGTAAATTAGTTTTCACTATAAATAAACATTTATATCCAAGTAAAATAATGATAAAAATCTTTCCACACGAATGGCGGAACAACGGTAACACGAAAAATCTTTTAAATAATCCTTTCTCAACTTAGAAGTTGAGCAAGGATGAATATGACGTTTGTTTTCTACTTTTAAAGTTATATTGAAGATTATTCTAAAGTCATGTGAAGGGTAACCTTTTTCATAAGAACTTAAATTTAATAATTGCTAACTTAGGACGTCCGCCAATTCTATGTTCAGCAGGATAATTTTGCTTAATCCTATGGTCATGTAACTCTCAAATTTAGAAACAATTTAAGTGTCTACGGCCACTGCTAATTTTTCTTATCTATTTTATTGCAGTCTAACCAAAAAAGATTATATTTAAAGAAAACTAAAAAAAAAAGTTCAACCTAAAGTACAAATAATTGGATGACATGATTTTCAATCGTCGAAAAGTTTTTTAAGATCTAGTTTGTCATAATCCTTCAGTGTAAATTTATAAATAGTGAAAAATTCTACGATCTTTCCATCTCAAATTGCAGATTTCATCCAACTTTCTAAATTTATATAAATCTTGAAGTTGTTCCTCGTTTTAATACAAATGCTTATTGTTCATTCGAATTCTAAATCAGCGGGACATTTGGTGTTAAGACAAGATACGAGTATATTCAGTCTTTCGGTCAAACTACTGTTTCGAATAGAAAGTAACGGAATGTATCCAATTACAGAGATCAATAAAATATAACTTTTTTTTAGAACCTAAGTAAGACATATCATTTCACGTAGATTTTTTGGCTCTGAATTCAAATCTGGCCACAGGATTACTCTAGCACGTTATTGAGCAGATTATTGAGATATTCTAACCCAGAAGTCCAAAAATCGACGTTTTAGCCTATATTTGACATTATGTAGCATCGCCATATTCTTTGTTCACAAAAAACTACAAACGGTATCTTGCCCTTTTAAATGCCCTTGGGTTTGCTTAAATAGATCATTTTGCTTTGAGATACTTAATTTTCAAATGTTCAATTTCCATGAATTCTCTTCCTCTTAAAATCTATAGAATTATTAATATTTCGTTGTCGACCTTTGATACTTATATTGTCTTTTTAGTTTCAACTCATTTTTAAGTGTGTTAAGTGGTCGAAAACTAGTGGTTTCGTCATCGGAAAATCTCCTTCCCTGTGTTCTTGAATAGAGTGAAAATGCAAAAACGATCTGAATGTATTTTCATTTGTAACTTTCCACGTATTTTGGTACATTCTTTTTTAAATAAGTTCATGAGGATAAGAAAATAATGTAAGCCAAGTTTCGGTAATCATAGCCACCCCTAAGTATCTCATAGGGGGTGAAATCGGAGTGAAAACGCAAATTAGGGATGGTTCATGGTGCCGTAACTGAGCTTACATTATTTCCTTACCCTAATAAACTGAACTTATTCATAAAAACTGTACCAAAATACGTGGAAAGTGTAAGGTTAAAATAGTTTGAGACCCTTTTTTTGCGTTTTCACCCTTTGTCACCCTGTATGAGATACTTAAGGATGGCTTCGGCTACGTAAACTTGGTTTACATTATTTTCTTATATTTATGAACTTATTTTAAAAAAGCTGTACCAAAATACGTGCAAAATTACAAATGAAAATACTTTTAGACCGCTTTTGTGTTTTTCACCCCTTTTAAGATACACAGGGATGGATATTTTCGGATGACGAAACTTGATATCTACTAGTTTTTAGCCGCAACAATCGTATTGTTGTAAAAGATACTTGAAAAATGAATTGAAACTAAAAAGACAACATAAGTATCAAAGTTCGACAACGAAATATTAAGAATCCTATAGATTTTAAAAGGAATAGAATTCATGGAAATGGAACATTTGAAAATTAAGTATCTCAAAACAAATGTGCTATTTGACCAAACTGAACGGCATTTGAAAGGGTAAGATTTCTACTTTAATATGCCGTTTGTAGTTTTTTGTGAACAAAGAATGTGGCGATGCTACGTAACCTTAAATATAGGCTAAAACATCGATTTTTGTACTTTTAGGTTAGGATATCTCAAAAACCTGACGTGTTAGAGCAATTTTGTAATTGGATTTGGATTCAGAGCTAACCAATCTACAAGAAAAGATATGTCTGACTTAGGTTCAAAAATTTTGTTGAACAGCGTTATCGTGTTGAAGTGACAGTAAATAACAATAAAATATTATAAATGAAATATGGTATAATAATAGAATTTCGATAATAAGTTGATAAAAATATCACCGTCAAGTACTCCAAATAGCGTTGAAGTATTTTTACGACAGTAAGTAGAAAGTATTTATAAATTCATAGTTGATTTTATTGTTTCACTTTTAAATGTTATGACATCTTTTTACAGAATTGCTAATTATTCGGAAAACAAAGCTGCTAAAATACAGCTGGTTATGGGTGAATGCCACCGGAACTAAAGAGCAGCTACTCGGCTTTAAACCGATTGGTTTCCTAATAAACAACATGAAAATGGCAGGAAAATTAGAAATATTGAAAGACAAATGAATGAATTGACATTTGGCAAGGCCGATGGACATAGGAACGAGGTGGTAACTGGACGAGACGATTGATACGGGACTTGAGGCTGTGGCTCGGAAGAAAATTTGGTGATGTAAATTTTTACGTCACCCAGCTCTTGACGGGCCACGGGTACTTCCGACGGTACCTCTACAATATGAACAGACTACGAACACCCAATTGTCAGTACTGTGGACACGAACGAGACGACGCGGAACACACGTTTTTCGCGTGTGACCGCTGGACAAGACACAGACAGGAACTGGAAGAAACGGTCAGCAGCATTACCCCCGATAACATTGTGGCTGTGATGCTACGTGAACCGGAATGGTGGCGCTTAGTTACTACCTATACGGAAACTATACTGAGACGTAAGAACGCGGATAGCTGCCTGACAGATGACTGAGCAGACGAAGTGACGCGCCGTAACGAGATACGGAGGAACGACACGAACAGACGAACACAGACAGAACCTCCAGTCAGAAGTAATATCAACATAGTCCCTGGCTGGGGGGAAGGACACCAAGGAGAGGGCGGTTTAGTGGATAGGCCTATTTTTTTTTCGGGGAGTCCCACATAACCCCTCAGTCAGAAAGACTAAGGGGAATCCGCAAAAAGGATTCCGCAACTCCTTGTAAAAAAAAAAAAATAATAATAATGAATGGCTGACCTCGAGTGCAGTAAGACTACTCCTGGTAAAAGTCAACTTTCAAGGTAAACGCACTACGCACTGGACGCCAACGCTTTTAGTTGCGTCAATACTCCTCGCAGTAACGTTATAATGAAAACAGCTAACAGGAAGCTCTGGTTTGCAAATAATGGAGACGTAGTGATAAAATGCTGATGTGAACTGACACCTACTCATCAGTATTTACACGAACATGCACTGGCGATCTTACCGGGATTGAAGCGGAGAGTGGATCGAGCAACCCGACAAATGAATTTCGATCATGAATATTGGAGAGGAGTCGCTATAAAAGAGTATCTTCTCGGCGAGTCATGAGTGACTGAAGACTCTATAAACAGGATAATTTTACGTGTTCATGGAATCGCTAAGATCAATTTTAAGGTGAATCCGGTCAAGGGACCGTGAGCATATGGTATTCAAATGATAGTGAGCAGTACAGAAACCTTTTCGAAACGTAGTGGACCGCTAGTACACGGTGATCGTTTAAAGACTTTAGATTTACCTGAAATGACGAAAAATTTTGAGTATGGTATTCTATGGTAATTGACCCGTAGAATCCAAAAATAAATGTCCCGAAATCGCATCTGCTCCCCTTTCAAAGAAATATTCAAAAATATCATTTTTTCTTATTTTTGATCAAAAATTGTACATTTGACAGAGGAAAATGAAGTACACTAATTAATTTTGATACAAATAGCAAACATTTTTATTATTCTCGTACAATTCAGTGTTTTATAAATGAAACGAAGAAAATTCTACAACAGCATATTTCAACCTTTGAGGGTAGGACAAGTCACTTATCAAATTTCTTTTCCTTTTCTCCCAAAATCGCAAAAATTCTCTGTGTGCAGATTCGCCAGCTTGTTCTGACTACAGTCCTAAACCTTCTGAATGTTTGAAAAATGTTAAACAATCTTTAAGATGCTCAAACAAAACATGTAGTTTCAAAGTGATCGAGACATCTGTTGCTATTACTGCGTTTGCTAGTTCTTTAAGTAATTTGTCTAGCTCATTTATATTCCCAATTTTTCTTGTAGAAAAGCAAAAATCGACTACTTTATTCATGGCCTTGAATGCACTTACGTAAGGTATCAAAACAAATTGACCTACATCTCTATAAATATTAGGATCCAGTAATTCATCGGGTTCTTTTAGTAATTTTCTGAATGCATTACCTTCAAAAACTTCACCATGATAATTTTTAGATACTAATTTCAGTTTCATTGGCCAGAGTAGTGCTCTTTCTCGACCAAGTAGCAGTACTAGACCGTCCCAAAAAAGATGGTTGACAAACCCTTGCAGAATATATAGCTCAGGTATAATGCATTTTTCCAGTATACATAAATCATTTTCCTCTACAAACAGTGGCTATTTACTGTACTGTGGCAATCTTTTGAGAATTTAGTTTTACAACCTAAAGTAATAACATGTTTCTTTCTATCTCTTTTCAAATCTCCATATGTTTTCAGAGCATAACGTTTGTCTCTATCAGTATTATTAATTCTTTCTTTATTGGTTCTCATGTCTGATAAACTAATAAAACATGAAGGACACGGAAATGTCGCTGTCGCTGTTTGTTGGCCATTTACCATCAATAATAATACTTTGAAATCTGAT